ACCTTCAATTTTAAACTGGAACAGAACTACTTATTATACATGCTATGCATCAATGCTCTCCTTAAAAGAGTCTGGTTTTGAACAAATTTGAACAAATACTGAATTAAGTTCATATTTGGGAGGGTTTTTTCAGAGGGAGGAAAGAAGGGGAGGAGAGAGTTGTGGGGTTCTTTTGCTTTCCATTAATAGATCGGGATAGAACTGATAGGCTGATAGGGGGTTAGAACTGATAGAAAAAAAGATTGCAGATTTAAAGAACACTTGCTAGCGCATGTGCCAGATGCTGATAGCTATATATAGCCACTCAAATGAGAATGACTGCACAGAGTATCTTATCCAGGCAAACAGGAATTTGCCTAAGCAAGATCAGGGCAAAAATGGAAAAAAAAAAAAATTAAAAAAATTCGACGTCTAATCTATTGTGCATTACTTCTGCTGCAGAAGAAGCTGTGTAAGTACTCCGTGAAGTGGAATAAGAACATGTCCTCATGATGACCTTATCTACATTTCACATAAATGCATTCCCAAATTTGATAGAACCAAATCTATCGTTTTTACCATTAGCTTGCTAGTCATTCTTGAGTACAACCTCGATTTCCTTGCTCCATAACCCTTGCAGAAGTAAGCAAAGGACAATAGATAAGGCTTCTTCAATGTAATAAAAAAGCAGCATGCAGCCTATAAGATGAAATTCAAAAACAGAACTCAGATATAAAGAATATGATTTGCCATGTTAGGTTTTTCTTATTGTCTCACTCAAGAAAATTTTAGAAAAGAGAGGCACTTGATTTTCCTTCCTCTTCCTCTTTACCCTGGTATCAAATTTCTCTTCCCTTCTATCCAATACAGTGAGTTTTTACCTACAGCAATATAATTTCTAAGTAGATCAAAATGTGAAATAGCAGTACTTTAGATGACGAGCTATCATTTCTACAGAGCAGTATGATAATTTTGGAAGGACCAGGAGGTTAGGCATGGTTTCTAATTAACACTGATGAACCTGGCTCCTAAAGATTAAATTCCCAAATGAGTAACTGCTACCTTTCTACACACAGGTCTATCCAAGTTACTCTCATTAAAACAATTTAAAAAAAAATTATAAGCTTCAGTCTGTGTCAAGATACTGAAGGCTTTCAAAAACTGATTAAAAATATTAAATGAGGTATTGAACTACATTAAAAATCAACCTTTTTCATGTATTGAAAAGCAATGGCCTATAATTTGTATTCAAGTGATTTTATTTCCAGTGCATAATAATTGTACTGCAGCCAACTTTGTGCCCTGTTTCTCTGAAAACCTCAAGGGATGTAGAGAAGAGGATTTTGTATCC